GGTATCCTATAGGGCCCAGTAGCTCAGCCTCCCCAATTACCTGAGCTGGACACACTTGGTTCACCCCTTTGTGGGCTGTGTGCACAGTCTTGTTGTAGTTAAGCCTTGACTGTAGTTGGTATCATTGGGAGGAATTGACCTCCTCCAGGCCAATTGGCAGTGAGAATCAGCTGTGTCTATGGTGGGAGAACTTCTGTGCTGAAGACACCCTTATGAGGCAAGACTTTGCTTCATTGGGCTTTGGTGCTCACTGAGTCTGCCCCCTGAGTGTGTCCCTTATGGATCTGAGGAGTTGTAATTGGATGGTCCCACTCTGACCACTGGGTACACTGGCTCTTGGATCTGTAAGGAGGTGCTAATTTAACCTCTGACTGAGGCTACCCAGCAGGAGCTATGGAGAGATCTGCAGATTCCTCTTCTTTGTTTAGGACTGGAGTTCAGAGCTGTCGGGACTTGTGTCTCCCTCCCGATTGAAAAAGACAACCTTGTCCTCAGTTCCCAGCCCTTTCTGTGTGCGCCTCCGTAACTCTGCACTTTATTTCTGCACCTCCTCTGAATCAGTGTGCTTTTATCTTTCCTTCTAGTTTTAGAATTTCCACTCAGCCAGCCTTCCTGTGGTTCTGGGTGATGTCCGTTTTGTCTTTTAGTTGTAGTTTTGAAGTGGTTGTGCGAGGCAGCAATTTCAGGTGTTTACCTATGCCGCCATCTTGGTTTCTTCCTCTATTGATTTTAAAGAGACAGGAAGGTAAGGGGGGCGGGGGGAGAGGGAGAGAGAAACATTGATGTGAGAGAGAACATTGATCAGTTACTCCCTAACCTGGGACTGAACCTGTAACTTAGTATGTTCCCTGACTGGGAATTGAACCCACAAACTTTTTGGTGTATGGGTTGATGCTCGAACCAACTGAGCCACCCAGCAAGGCCCAGAATGGAACATTTTTTTATTGATAATGCGATGGAGATTAATAATCGTATAGGAAAGAAAGCCATTAATGATTCTTAAAAGTTTTATACAAAGTAAACATAGTATATATAGCAGAAAAATCTTTTTCATGGAACTTTAAAATTAAATTTAATCTAGGCATTTAAAAGTAAAATGAACTGGCATAAGATTAGTTTTAAAATTACTGTTTTAGCTGGACTGGCATGGCTCAGTGGTTGAGCATCAACCTATGAACCAGGAGGTCATGGTTCAATTTCCAGTCAGGGCACATGCCCGGGTTGCAGGCTGAACCCTCAGTGTGGGTGTGCAGGAGGCAGCTAATTGGTGATTGTCTCTCATCGATGTTTATATCTCCTTCTCCCTTCCTCTCTGAAATCAATAAAAATATTAAAAAAAATAAAATTACTGTTTTATATAAGTATATCATAAAGCTGAATATAATTTTGTTTCATTTTACTGTGCAGCCATAGAATTATGGGGGGGGGGAATCTTTAAGAATCTGCTGTTATAGTTATTGGTGAAATATACACAGAGGTTGCTAGTAATTTTAAGTAATTTTGCATTAATGTATGGAGCCCAGACCTGGTTAAAAGATATTGATATGGGTTTTTGTACTGATATTGATACTTTTTTGTTTGGGAACAAGACCAGATTTGTGTTAATTATCAACAACTTATATTTATTTAGTGCTTAAGTCTACCATGTGTTGAGCTAGAATTCAGCCGTGGGCAAACTACGGCCTGATCCGGCCCGTTTGAAATAAATAAAACTAAAAAAAAAAAGACCGTACCCTTTTATGTAATGATGTTTACTTTGAATTTATATTAGTTCACACAAACACTCCATCCATGCTTTTGTTCCGGCCCTCCGGTCCAGTTTAAGAACCCATTGTGGCCCTCAAGTCAAAAAGTTTGCCCACCCCTGAGCTAGATCCTTGAGATACAATGGTGATCAGGAGACACATGTTCCCTGCCTGCCTGGGCTTATTGTTGCATTCTACTTGCTTTTGAGATCTTAATTAAGTAGATAATTGATACGTCTTTTGAAAAAATACTCCAATGTAATTTAATTTACACACTTAAAATAATTAATGATTTTATTAAGGTAATATGTATATAGTAGTTATAAAGTCAAATTGTACCAAAAAGCTTATAACAAAAAAGCAGTCTTTACCTTTCTTCACTCCTTAGTCCTGCTTCTGGGAGGCAACCAGTTTCTGTCTTCATATTAATTTCCTAGGGCTGCCTTAACAAATTCCACACACTTTGTGACTTAAAACAACAGGTAGTTATTATCTCACAGTTGTGGAGGCCAGAATGTGCTGTGCTCTCATTGAAGGCTCTAAGGGAAATTCTGTTCCTTTCCTCTTCTAGCTTCTGGTGGTTCCAGGCTTTCCTTGGCTTCTGGCCTCATCTCTCCGTACTCTTTTTTTATATCGCCTTGTCTGTGTGTCCTTCCTTTGTGTGCCATTGCAGTTAAGGCCCATCCGGATAATCTAGAACAGTCTCATCTCCAGATCTAATTAACTTAATTTTATCTACAAAAATTTAATGGGGATTAGCTTTGGGGGTTAGGACATGAACACCTTTTAGGGGCAACCATTGAGCCTGCTACAGTTCTCTTATTTATTTTGGCATTTACCTCCATATTTCTAAACTTATACTGCCATTTCTTGGTAAATCAATTGAGATGCTGTTTACTCTCTGAATAGATGCTGTTTACTCTATGCCCGCCCCCTTTCTAATAGAGTATGTCATAATTGTTGGCACAACAGTAATGACTGTTTTATATCATTACAACTATGTTAATATTGTTTTCTTTAGTTATATCCTGTGATATTTTCCTTCCTTGTATGGTTCTTTTCCCCCCTAAAGTTAATAATTCTATTTTTAACGTTTTCTATGTAGCTGTCCTTTTTTCTTACATGCTCCATCAGAGAAAACTTAGTAGTATTAATTTTCAAATGTTTAAATTTATAATTCCATTAACTTATTTAAAATTCACATTTTGCTTCAGTCTGAGCTGGTAATGCTTTGGTTCTGCTTGAACTTCCTGTCACATTTTTACTGCTTTCAACCCTCTGTTTTCTTGGTCTAATTAATTTTCTTCCATCCTTGTGGGAGGAAACTGTTTTGAGACTTTGTGTACTTGAAGATGCTAGTTCAGTTTTATTTGACAGTTTAGTTTTATTTGACTGGCAATAGGATGTTAGGTACAAATTATTATTCCATAGAATTTTTTTTTTAACTTACCTGTGGTGTTACAGATGTTCCCTTTTTGTCCCCCTGACCCCTTCTAGCCTGTATCGGCTGCCCCCGCCCACCCCCCATTCCCATCCCAGGCCTTTACCGCACTGTTGTCTATGTCCTTGGGTTCTGCATATAATTTTTGAAAATATTTCTCTGTTGTCCTCTAGTATACAGAGTTGCCA